CCGATACGATAACATCATCATATCGCTAATGTTTGACTTTTATTTGTTTTCTAGATACTTATACAAGAACTTGGTGACGCAGGGTGCACATATGTATAAATTTCTTGATGTTGGATCAATATTGACATCCAATCTTTCGAAAGAAGCACGATCGGAGAATTTGACAAAACGACTTATGTCAATGGAGTCTGGTCAATTGCTTCTTGCTCCCTACAACAGTGGGTAAGTCATTTTTATTTCTATAGATATTGTGGTAGGTATGTCTAATTTAACTGATTTTCTCATTTATTTGGAATGCATAGATCTCATTGGATATTGATCATCATTGATTACTCGAAGACCATGGTGTTTTCAATAAACCCTTTGAGATATCGTCTGGACAATGATATCATGGATGTCGTTAACCGGTATGTAGAAGTCACCTAATGGTTATGAGCTTAAGTTCAATCGATTTATAAACTTATTGTCTATCGCTTCACAAGGCTTTCAATAAATGCAACAAACTAAAGGTACAATGGAAGTGTGTAAAGGTACGAGATGATGTTCACTCATTAAGTGGTTCATAGTAGTCACTGTTGTATTTATTATCAGCTTACTATCTGCGAAATGCCTTGTTGTATGCATAGTGCCCAAGACAACTTGGATCGACAGAATCTGAGTATTATGTGATGTGATTCATGCGAGTCATAGTCAGCCAAAAGAGCACTTCGATCCATGATGTAGTAAATAATAACTTAGCCTGCATGAATGTCAAAATATATGTATATATGTGAAATGTCTCGAACTTAATTAATTACTGATTCTATAGTTATAGATGAAACTTGAACTAAATGAATACACAAAAGACGACATCAACATGTTGAGAATGAAGTGGGTCAAGTTTGTTCAGTCCTACTTAACTTTTTCATAAGATATGTGTAATTACCTTTTTGGGTCGACCATGAACTCATGTTGCATATAATATATTTTTTGCTTGTACATTGTTCGAGTTCATGGTTGATGCATTGGTAGCAATACTTTTGTTAGGCATGTTTTTTGGACTGCTAGCTACCTTATACTTTCTTGGTCATTTTATCTCACACCTGACGAAGAGAAAAATTTTGGTGTGAGTTGTTAACTATATCCCTGTTTATTCATTTGAAGGTGTAGTACTTATAACCATTCAAGTAATTTGAATATTCAAAATTTCTGGTAGTCCTACTTCGTCAGACACATTACTTTGAAGTATCTATTTTGTCATACAAGAAATTCTTGGTTGGGTTCGTACCTCAACGCATATATGCTACTATATTACTTAAAATTTTGTTTGAATGTTACTGTTTATGTAAAATTTTTTGAGAAAGTCCCTTTTCCTAAGTTACTTCTTATTGCTTTATATGACAGAAGCAAGTTTCGGACTAGAACAAGAAGTTGTAAAGGATTTTTATTTTGTTGAACCGCGTCCAAGTGAGATGAAGCATGTTGTGGCCGTTTCCATCAAAGTTCTATTATAACAAAGGTAAGCTAACTTGCTTTTCGTCATTATTCATACTATAGCATTTGAATCTTAAATATTTATGAATCAAACTTGTTATATGTTGTAACTATAGTTAATTTAGCACATTTATTAGATTATTGAATAAGTTCACAAGGAAGACTGAATATTGATTATAGATACTGTCGTTATACGAGTAATGTACGTTTACAATCCTTCTGATATACTAGCTAGTTTGTGCTATATTGTTTAAGTATATTTTGTGTTATGCTGCTGAATGATACAGAAGAAGTGTTGGGTTCTTTTGTTATTGTAACCTCTTCTGTTTTGTTCGGAACTTTGTTTGGTCATTTTGTTGGTTATCGTATCATATTATTGTGTAAGTACATAAGAGTTTTATGAATTCTTAATATTGATACTTTTGTTACAGGATGATTGTACGTTTACAAACATTATGATTGTACTGATATTTTGTGCTATGTAATTTAAGGATGTAGAAAAAGTGTAGGCATGTCGTTAATTTTAATTGTGCTTCTTCTGTTGGGATCTTTATTTGGTTGTGATGTTGGTTGTTTTATTAGATTATTGAGTAAGTTGATAAGGAAGACTATAAATGTTGATTATTTGTAGTGTTGTAGAAGATTAATGTACGTTTTCAATCATTGTGATACTTGTTTAAATTTTTAAATATTATGCGATATTACTAAAGGATGTAGAAGAAGTATACGTAGGTTGGTTTTTGTTTAATCAATTTTGTTATGTTGGAATTTGTATTTGCAAGGATTACTATTGTGATAGGCTCCTAGTGTGTTTATTTAAGAATGTTATTTGCAAATATCACAATCCTTTGCAATTTTTAATACATAGACACGTTCTTTTAGAAAGTAACTTTCTTCCCTTATCTAGCTTTCATTATTCATTTGTCTAATTTGGGTATTGTTTTTTTCATTAGGTCTTTCATGACCCCAAAGAAGTTGACAATTACAAGAGGAGATCTAATTGATGGATGAGCTTACTTGTTGGGGTTGGTGTATTGGGAACATGTTTAATTTTGTAATTTTGTAATTTATGTTTGAGAATACTAATATATTCTAAATTAATATATTAAATTCCTTGTTCATGTTTAATATATTTCAACTTTGTTATCTAAATTAATATATTTGCATGTTAGATCGACAATTTGATTATATAATATTTCTATTACGCGACATTTGCAAGCTAAATCAAATACATTTTCGATGATATTTTTTTTTTTATCCTCACAAAAGGAAATCATTCGTGACGTTTTTAAAACGTCACAAAAATGATTCTAAGATGCCTATTCAACGTCATGAAATATTTTTTTTGTGACATTTAAAAACCGTCATGAAAAGATGTCACGTGATCTTTCCTCGCTATTCAAGGTCTTTCCGTGACATTGTATGATAGTCACGAAATCAAATGCCGTCACGGTTAATCATTTACGGTGATTTTTTTTAAATGTCATTAAAAGTCTTAATCGTGACATTCTTAAAACATCACGAAATAATTTTTCATGACGCTTAACAAACGTTGTTGAAGACTATTTTTTTCATGATGATTTTTAACCGTCACGTGTGTTAATTTTTGTGACGTTTAAAAAATGTCACGTATACCTTTCGTGATGAGCATATAGGTGACGACCTAAAAAACGTGATGAAAAATTTTTGTGACGTTAAAAAACGTCACGATAAGCCAAATTTCTACTATACCATGGGCAAGTTTGTTGCCTTGGGCTTTAGTTTTAAATACTAATTGTATTTATTAAAAAGTTCAGTGCGACCTCGAGCCCCTCTCGACTCCTAGTAGATTTGCCTCTGTGTGTGGTTGTCCATATATTTTCAAACATGGTATTAAGAATGAAGTCGAGGTGAATGGAAATTTTGATAAAATGTTTATATCGATATCAATGGATATTTCTAAAAACATTATAAAAAAAATCATAAGAAATATTTAAATTAACAAATAAATGTTTCACTATTTCTAAATAAGTTAAGAATGATTATTATTAATACTATATCTATATTAGTGATATTTTGTTGATATTTTTCATAATTTATTGATATTTTTTAAAATACTATGAAAATGTTGATCTATCTTTTATGCCCATGTCAAATCTATGGACACATGAAAATGTTGATGAAAATTTAATATTATAATGAAAACAAATTTCTACTTGTGTTGAACAAAGGAAATTAAAACAAAAAATATATGTTGTTTCAGGGTAGTATTTGACACAATAGTTTTAATAGCTCGTGTAATGTGGCGAGCTAAAATATCTATTACTTTTATTAAGGTGGAAAGAATCTGTATTAAACAAAAGGGTAAATTGCAAAAACCACCCCTAAACTATAATAGTTGTTACAAATACACCCACAAACTTTTACTTTTAATGGCAAAAATTAAACCTTCCAACTTAAATTATGGTTTAAATTAAACCTATGTTAGTTAGGTTAACCTTCCGTTAAGTTCTCATTTAAAAAACAAACTGATGTTTTAAAAAATAAAATAAAACCCTTCATTAGGTTACAAAATCACGCGTAACAAACACAAATCTTTTCGATGAGGGGGAGAAAACGAAGAGTTTTCAAGATTTCTAGAAAGAAGAGAAAGGCAAAATCGATTTTAAACAAGATCACCATTTGAATTCTAGTTTCGATCATAATATATATATGCTCGGCTTGAGAGTGTTCATTGGTAAGTAATCAACTTGAACAACAAGAATCGTGCATCGTGATGTCGATAAACAAAAACTAATTTTGTGAGGTTTCTTCTATTAAAAAAAAACAGTAGTTTCATCTACTTCCACATATGAACCTCCATAAGTGAACCCACAAAAAAATTTCAACAATCTTCCATCTCCATTTTTGCTATAATATCATGTGACCTAACAATAAAATTGAGAAGGAAAAGATAAAAACTCGGCCACGTTCAAAACTCTACCACCAAACTTATGAAAAGGAGAAAATTTAAGAGGATGATACTCGATTCGATTCTGTATATAGGCTCTTGACTCTTGAGGGGCTGAGAATGTTCTGTCAAAAGGACCCATGACGATGAAGGAGAAAAAGTTTACTTACCATTGAACACTTCCAAGCCGACAATACATATTATGATTGAAATTGGAATCCAAGAAATCTTAAAAAAAAAATTTTTTTGTTTGTTAAGCAGTAATTTTGTAACTGAAGGGCTTTATTTTATTTTTTAAAACATCAGTTTGTTTTTTTTGAAGAGAACTTAACGGAAAGTTAACTAACTAACAAAGAGAGGTTTAATTTAAGCCACTATTTAAGTTGGAGGATTTAATTTTTACCATTAAAAGTTCACCACTTGGTTGGAGGTATATGTTAATTACCGCTGAGTCCATATGTCAATAGGGATTAATTTTTAATTGTATAGAGAACAAAAACAATGATTATATAAAATTCTAAAAAAGTTTATTAAAATTACATAGCTAATAAAATTATAATTAATAACAAAAACTTATTTCAAAAGCGGCTTCTCGACGGCGCCTTATATTTCCTCCACTTGCAATTAACCCTTCGTAAAATTATTATTTACAGTCGCAGAACGCTTACCGGCCGGGAATTGGGATACCGCCGGCGCCGGAATCTTCCAGCACCACCTTTGATCTTGTAGAGTGAAAAATAGCAACAAAACGAAACGAGAAGAATTTCAGAAGCAAACTTCTTCCATACAAATCCTAGAAGACAATACATGAATCGCTCTTCTCTGATTCCGAAGCAATTGAATTGGGGTATACCTAAAATTTGAAGCCTGCGTGTTCTTGGCTAAACAGAATTTTGAAAGTTTTTGCTGCAGGTATTCTTTTCTTTCTGTCCATTCCTTGAATCTAATGCCAATTTCGAGTTTCCTTTTGTAATTTCTTTCTTTCTTTCACGTGGTTGGGTTGGGGTTTTTCTCCAACTTATAAATCTTCCCCTGTGCCTTTTTTTTCCCCTTAAATTTGATCGTCTGCTTGGCTCCAGTTAATCTTCAGCCATTTGTTTTCATGTTTAATTGTTATGTGATTCAATTTGATTCTTGTTCTTTCTTAAGCTTTGTTCAGGGTTTTTGCAGATTCTTGAATTTGGCATTTTTCTGTAATTTATGGTAATGGGGACTCTTATCTTCGTCTTTGTTGGTTTTTCCCATTCTTAATTTTGCCAGAACTCTGGTTTATATTTCATAAATTATAACACAATGGAAATCTATATTGGCAGAAAAAAAATCATTAGAGCTGAGCTACATAATTCTTAGTCATGGATTTTGAGATTTCAAGGCTGTTTATTTAAATCTATCCTGATTCTATGAGCCGTGATAGGTTGAAATTTTTGTGATAGGGTTGTTTATTATAATTTCCATTTCGATGGATGGTGAAATTATTCAGTATAAAGGAGTTTTTTGCTTTATTAAATCATAATTAAATTTCATATTAGAACTATACAAAGAAAGAAAATTGGAGTGGAAATAGTGAGAGATATGGAGTTGCATTGTGCATTAGTTTGTTAGTAGAAAACAAGTCTTTTGCCTGCTAAGGATGTACTCCACAGGCACTAATAACTGTAAGGAGTTCCATTTGGGTTGTGCTGCACATA